GCTCTCCCCTGTTGCAGGGGAGACACCGAGCTTCAGAGAAGGAAAGTCACCCACCCAAGGTTGCACAGCCTTTAGGTGGCAGAGCCAGGATCCAAACCTGGGCCTGGTGCCTCCCAAAACTGGGCTTGTCCCAGTCATCCCCACTTCCATTTCTGGCCAGTCCCCGGCTTCCTAGCAGTGCTTTAGTCCTTGGAGCTGCGGAGAAGTAGGAGATGGCGGATGTGCCATCCCTGCAAAACGCCATCTCCTGCAAGGTGGGGTTGGGCAGGGCTTAGCGGTGGTAGTCTGTGCTGCCCCACTGAACCGTCTGTGCTTGCAGTTGTGTGGGGGTGAGAAGAGAGGACCTGGAGATGCCCAATAAGCAACCAAGCTCTCAGGCGGCGGGGCTGGGCAGAGATGGTGGCTGTAACAGAGCAGGGCTGCAACTGTTCCCAATTTGTCCCCTGGCTAGCCCACCCCTATGGACTTCACCCTCCAGGGGTGCTGCCCCCTCTCTGCTCTGCACCATCTACATTTACACAGGCTCACACTTCTCCCATCCAGAAAAACTCCCCCTGAATTCTTTCTGCCCTTCTAGCTCCCCGTTTCCTTTCCAGCCTACACTGGACAGAGCAGCATGCGGGCAGGGGGAGGTCTGGCTGGCTGTACTCCCGCTTCTCCTTGCCCACTGCCCCACCTCTGCCCGCACTGAGCTCTGGAGCTCCTCTCAGCCACCTCCAGGCCCCCACCAGGCAAACCCTCCTGAGCTCTTTGAATTCAATGAGTCCGTCCCTTCCACAGAAAACCCTTGAGGCTATTTGAAGTGCTTTCCCCCTGTGCCTGTCCCCTTGGCTGCACCTAGAACTCACGACCCTCCTGGAGAATTATCCCAAGAGCGACTTTGTGTCACTCCTGCCACCCTTTAGCATGGGGAGATACCCCCCAGTGCCCAGAGGGAAAGCTAGGCTGGCCTGGGCTGCTCTGACCACTCTGTCCTGTGGTCACTTACAGTGATAAAGGCGTCCTAGCTCTTCAAATCTCTAATCCCGAGTAACAGTAGAATTCTGAACTTGATTCACCCAAAGGCGTCATCCGGGGCCAGGGAAGGGTGGGCAGGACCAAGAAGCCCGCTGGTCAGGTCCTGCTGACAGGTGGCTTTGCACCTGCAGGGTTGGGTGTGGATTCCCGTGGGCACTTTTGTGCCGCTCAGCAGCCCCCACTGGAGTGTGCCAGTCGAGCTCCCCTGGCTCTCTCTGCCTCCTCAGCCCAGGATTCCGAGGTCCCCCAGTCCCTCTTCCTGGGCCATTTGCCCCTCTGAGGCCGGCTCACCCTGCACCGGTCCCCTCTTGTCCCCTGGGGGCACAATTCCTTTGCCTGGCTTTGCCTGAACAAGGCACAAAGTGTGATGTAGCTGTCACCGGGTGCACGATGGACACCAGTCACGGTGCCATCCCTGTGGAACTTGGGACACACTTTAAACTCTGTGAGGGTCCCACTGAAAGCCCTGTTGGTCTGGAGTGAGAAGCAGGCACCGCAGGGCAGGCTGGGTGCCCTGTAACTCTCTCCAAGACCCCTCCTCACTCATGCTCTCTGCCGTGAAACCACTCACTTACTTCCAGCTGTGAAAATGTGTGACTTCTGCCAGGGGTCTGACAAACCCCTCTCTTTAGCATCTGATGTCTCCTGTGTTTGGTGTCACCATGAACACCCCCAGCCCTGTGCCAGGTCACACTTGGCTGGGTCTCTGACTCCACTGCCCATCCAGGATGCTGGCTTTCCTTCCTCAGCACAGACAACCTGGGTTCAAATCCCAACTCTGCCACTTTGGAACTCCATGGCTTTGGGCTTCTAAGACCCTCTGGGGAGTGTTTGTTTGCTTATTTATTTTTTGGTCTGCAAAATAGGGTTACGATAGTTGTCTCGTAAGATTGTCGTGGTATATAGTTGACATGGGCCTGGGTTGTGCTCAGCTAGAGTACGTTGTTTGTATATTTCTTTTTTCCTCTGTCCTTGGGCCCTCTCTAGCCCACTGATGAGTGTTCTTGCTTTCAGTTCACTGATGACCTCCAGACACCGGGGTACCAGCATGGCCCTCCCCCACCTCCCCAGCCAGAATTAATGGTTTCTTCCCCACTAGCCCTCCCACCCCAGGCTCCCTCTGTTCCCTGTTCAACTGGGGACGTTGTCAGGGCAGGATGCCCCTCCAGCCTCGGACAGGGCCTGTGACCTAACTGCTACCCCTTAAATGTTTGTTGGAGGTACACAAATGACAGCTGAAAAGAATTTGTGGACTTGGAAATGAGTATGAACCTATCTATAGCTCCGAGCCATAACTGGGGGATGTTTCATGGCCCTCTAGAGCAGCCTGCACCCCAGAAGGGCCTCTTGGAGGCACAGGTCCAGGAGAGGGATGGGAGCGGGGCTGCTGTGGTCCAGGCTCCAGCGTGCTGACACCTCAATAAAAAGAAGGGACGGTGGAGGCAATTAGTACATCACCAGGCCTTCGTGGCAACTGCACACCTCGCTCCCTCCCCTGTTTAGCCTGCTGTCCCCAGGTTGGCCGCTGGAATTGATCGACAGAGACTGCCTCATCTCCTCATTTTTTTGGGAGACAGCACTGTCATCCGAGGTCTGAGGTTCTCCTCTCTGTGGCAGACCTGAGCCAGGGGTCATACATCTTCATGACCCTAGCCCTCTGACCTTAAAATAACAAATCCTGGAAGAATACAGAACAATAGTTGTCTATTTTTAAAGATCAGCTTAATCGTAGCAGCAGAGTCCACCATTTTCTAGAAGAATACCTCAAGTACAAAGTATTTTTTAAGACAATTGGATAAATATCTTCCTGCCAGGACAAACAGGAAGGTCGCCTTGTAGTGCTGACACCACTCCGCAGGCCTGGGGTGGACTGTTAGCCCCGGGGGAGGTGGAGAGGCCTCCATGAAGGCCCCTTCCCTGTCATTTTGGTCACGTTCCAGCCTCCCGGCTTCCATGAGGAAACACTAACCTGGTGACCTCACCCTGGCTGCCTCCCAGGACCCCTGCGAGCACCAAACGGGGGCACGTGGATAAAAGCCAGCGATGGTTCCCGAGCCAAGTCTGGGGCAGGAAGTAGGAGCATGCCAGGTGAGGGTGTGGAGGTCCCAGGCAGAGGGGCAGCAGGGGTGGGTGCAGAGCAGGGAGCGGGCTGTGTGCGCGGGAAGGACAGCAGCGCAGGGTTGCTGGGCGGGGCAAGCAATGTTCATCTCACCCCTCTTGCCTTTTGTCCTTCCTGGCCCATCTGGGACCCCGGGGGACATGCCTCTGCACCCCCACTTCCCGCCACCGCCACATCTCAGACAAACATCAGCCCCGAGTCAGTGCTTCTTGTTTTATGACCAAACTAACATGCCGTTAAACAACAACAGCCACCCTGTACGAGAGCCCAGGGACATAAAGTATGCGGTGAAACCTCCACCCGTCAGAGGGGAACCCCACGCCAGCTCAGTGGGTTCCCCACGCCTGAGAATCGACTTAGGACTGACGCGTGACAAAGCTGACCCACTGTGACACCCAGACACGCTCATTGGTTCCCTGGAACTGTCAGTGACTTCAGATCTTTGGGGTGGGGGGGCGGGGAGGGTGTCTCTTTAGTTGCTCAATAAAAAGCTCAAAATATCAGCACGGCTGGAGCTTTGAGGGGCTAACTGGTGTGAAGGGCCACCTCCATCCGGGGGCCTGGCCTCCCTCCCCTTGGGATCCTGCTCAGGGCTGAGCTGAAGAGACCTGAGCAGAAACCAGCCCAGCCTCGTGCCAGCCCCACACAACAGGCAGGAGGCCCACGCCTCGCTTTCCCCAACAAAATAAATCTCGCTGCTCCTTCTGAGCGTCTCAAACGCATGATCTTCTCCCGATTAACAACCTGGCCAGCATGTTCTTGGCTGCTCGCTGCCGACCTCAATTTAGAACTGTCTGTTGTTTGGCTGCTGGAGAAGGAAAGTGCTGAGGGGACAAGGCAGACGGAAGATGAGGGGGCTTGTGCAGCTGAGGTCTGGGGGTTGAGACGTGTTGGCCTCAGAGCTGACCCAGAAGCTGACCAGCATCTCAGGAGCCTGCAGAAGGGCAGGAGTCCCAGCCAGGCAGGCTGATGCTTTGGGGGCTTTCAAACTATTTTCCTACGTGGGTGGAGGAGGGGAGTAGGCAGCTCCCAGGGACATGCCTTTGTAATAGTCATTGAACATCATGGTCACAGCCAAAAACGGCCGCCCGAGGAACACCTCTGCGTTGTTGGGAAACTGTTCTCAGGGCGTTGCTTGTTATAGTCTATAAAGGGCCGGCCAAGTGGTTCAGTTGGTTAAGAGCTCTCACAAGAGTGCGAGCTCTGAGCAACAGCGGTTCGAGTCCTGACCCGAGCTGAGCTGCTGCTGAGCTGTCAACAGGTGGCAGGATGGCTCAGCTAAAAAAAAAAAACTTGACAAATTCTTCTCCGAGGTCGGGTTCAGGGAAAGCTTTGTCTCTCCTGATTCCTGGCTCGCCTCCTCCTCCAGGCTGGAGAGACCAGTGGGCAGACCCGTCTCCCTCCCTCCGTGTATCTACTGCCAGGAAGTTTTCTTTATTTTGTGTCCTGCTTCCTCCCTCTTCTCACGTTCACCCGCTTTGGGTCTTCTCAGACCTGCGCTGCTATCCAACATGGTTTCTTGCCCTTTGAGGAGGAGAGTGGTGGAAGCGTGGGGTCTGGAGTTGTCCGGCCCCGGAGGGGAGCGGGGGTTGCGGCTCCACTCTACGCCTGCTGAGAGACTGGAAGCTGGCAGCTTGACCTCCCTGACTGTCAGGCTCTTCCTCTCTGTACAGCGGAGCTCTCACACACTTTGCCTTGGTGTGCTGGGAGAGATGGTGCTTCGTGCGTGTAAAGTACGGGGCACCACACTGCGCAGAGCGAGTGCACGAGAAGTGCGAGTGGGAGCCACAGTCCTCACAGGGAGACAGGTGGGATTAAAGCAGCCTGGAGAGTGAGCCACTCTCTCCTTTTCCTTCCCCTGCAGGAGGGCAGTTGGTGATCCACACTGGCCCCCCCATAATGGTCTCTCTGGCCAACGAGCCCGTTATCTTCAGCTGCAATATCACCTACCCATACACCCCAGAATTCAAAACCTTCACAGTCGGCTTCTTTTACGTGGACCTCCAGGGCCAGGTGAGCTCTGAGAAGAAGACTCACTGCCAACCTAGCATGGGCGTAGAGAACCAGACCAGCACCACTAAGTGCCAGGTCACCCCCACGCTGCCCAGCTCATCAGCCACTGGCACCTACTACTGCTCTGTCCACTGGCCAGGCTCCGTAGGCAGAGGCAACGGCACCTTCATCCTGGTCAGAGGTGAGGCCTCCTCCGTGGCTCTTCCCAGGGCAAAGGGCCCAGAGGTTTAATGCAGCAGAGTTTGGGGCACAGGATTTAAAGAGGGGAATGTTGACCTCATCTTTCAGCTTTGGCAAAACAGACCAGAGTATCCTAGGGGAGCTCCTGGCCGTGCAGGTGCTGAGACATCCCCCTTTGGGTGGGTGTGGATCTGCCTCTGGCCACCTGAGAGATCTCAGGTGACCTGCGAGAGGTCACTTGGCCCCTTGGTCCAGTGACCCTTCGGCGCAGATGGGGGTTGAGCGAGCGCAGTGTACACACGTATGTTTGCGGCAGCCTGTGAGTGAGCAGGCGTTCAGCTTACGGACACCTTTCTGGAGATGGATTCCTGCTTTTCATCACATTCTCGAAGGAGTGATGACACCAAAAAATTAAGAACAGCCCATCACAGAAGCCATGATTCTCTGACCTGCCTTGGTGACTCCTACCAGTGGGGGCTGGGGCTTCAGAACCCCACGGGCCCAGGTGCGGACCCCAGTCCTGCTGCCTGCTGGGATGTGATGTTGGGCCTGGTCTTCATGGCAATACCCTGCCTGTCAAAGGCTTGTATGGGGATGAATGAGATCTTGCGTTCAAGGGCTGGAGCCTGGTAATAGGAAGCACTTGATAAATAACAGACACTGATGTTCCCGGCACGTGGTCAGCACTCTGAAACATTTTGCCAGAGAGACGGATGGAGGGAGGGAGGGAGGGACGGGAGGAGAGAATGGACGGCTCAGGGGAAGGGGCTGGGCTGTGCCTGTCACCTGCCCCCAGACACAGGCCAGCCACCTGCCAGGCCCGGAAAAAACCTCTCCGGCTTCACCACATGATCGCTACTCCACATGTGGAGGAGGAGGAGGCCCCCCTCAAGAGGTGAAACGACTCGCGCAGGGTCCCACAAGCAGCTCTCAGTGGAGCCAGCTCACTGAGGCAGGGGCACTTAAGAAACAAAAGATGTGGTCCTTGCCTTGACAAGAATCAGGAAGCAAACAGGTTTAGGCCCAGCCCAAGTGAGGGTGGGAATGAGGACCTCAGAGAGCTGGGGCCTGGGGGTCCTTGTAGGGGAGTGGTGTAAGGGGGGTCCTGGGTAAAGGAGGTGTAGGAATTGGGGGTCTGGGGGTTGGTGAGGTGGGGTGTAACTAACCCTCTGCTTCTCTGCCCTCCTCCCAGACACAGGCTACCAAGAGCCCCCACGGCCCCCCAAGAATCTCCTGTTCTTTTGCTTCATCGGCCTCCTGAGTGTCCTCAGCATCCTGGGCACGGCTCTGGTGCTCTGGAAGAAGGTAGGATGCGCATGGCAGCGCTGCCCCTCCCCCACACTGTGGCCCAGGGACGCTCCCGGGGGCCAAGGGGCGGCCTGCCTGCCCCACAGGGTCTCCCGGTGGGCCCTGGTGAGGGGTCCTGTAATCGGGGTTCCCTGTGGCCCCTTGTACCAGGCCTCTCCCTCATACTTTCTATGGCTGGGCCTGAGCTGCCAACTCGTCACCACCAGGTTCCTTTTGATCTCATTGCAAAAAAAAAACCACACCAAAAATCAGGGGCTCTTCAGTCTTTTCTGTTCAGGATCCAGCCCCTTTCTTCCCCAGCCCAGAGCTCCATCAACCCCTCACCTGGACTACGGGTCTCCCTGCTTCCACACTCGCCTCCCCTCACGTCCTTGCTTAGGTGTCTGCCACTGTCCCCCCCCCTCACCAGAGTGTAAACCCTAGAGGGCAGGGATTTGGTGTCCCCAGTGCCTGGAGGGGCCTGACACGTAATAAGCGCGTGTGGAGAGGATGACCGGTAAGTGAACGCTGGCGCTTGAAAGATGGGTCACAGGTGGCCAGGCTACGAGGTGGGCAAGCTGGCAGCATCGCTCCCACTTTACAGAGAAGGAAACTGAGGCTTGCTGAGGTGCTGATGGTCACACTGATTGATGTATTCATTTTAAAATCACAAGTGGAAGGAAATGTTGATGGCCAGGATGGGGCAAGGCTGGCTCCAAGGGGCAGAGCACCCCCACATCTGTAAGAAAATGTACCCTTCTGATTCTCCAAGGGAGGCTCCCTCTGCCCCTGCCCTCCCCAGGCCCCTGGCCACAGCTTAGGTCTCCTCATCAGGCCCTGGGAAGGCCCGTCCCTCCTCCCTTACCCCCACCCCCGGACTCTCAATCCCCCCACATCTACGGCAGTGCGGGGAGCGGGTGAGCCTTATAAAATGCGGATCCTACCACATCTGACCCCTTCCCTGCCCCGCAGCTCCTGCTGCCCCCTGAGTAAAGAGACAGTGACATCCTGCCTTTCGTGGCCCCACCCCGGCCAGCCACCCAGCTCACTTCCTTTCATCTTTTATTTCCACCTGACAACTTTCTATCTGACAGCTCACCCTTCTGTGTGTCCCTGACATGTCCTGATATCCCTGTCCCTGTGCTATACTATGCGCTGTTCCTGCAGCCTGGGACACTTTATAAAAGACTCCTCTCCCATTTCAGGAGATAGTGCAAGCCCTGAGAAGTCTGCCCCAGCCCCTGGCAGACTTGGGGTCCTTCCCATGACCCCACAGCGGCACTGACCTCAGCAGCGACCCCACCAATCTCAGTAGGAGTGCCATGAGGCCAGTCCTGGGTCTTGCTCACCACAGGGTCCAGGAGAGCCCCTGGCCATGTGTCACACCCACCAGCCTTGGCAGTGTCCCGGGGAGAGGCACCAGCCTGCCAGCTGTCTTGACTGTGACACACCCCTCAAAGCAGGTGGTCAGGGGAAGGGCACTAGATTTGAGAACAAGGCACCTGGGTTCAATCAAGGGCAGTCATTGACAAGGTAGACAGGTCTGTTTCCCCCTCTATTAAATGGGAAACTCACGCCCGCCTCCTCAGGTTTTATGAGAACTAATGACGATAAGAACAAGTCCCACAGTTCTTTGTAAACTGTAAACATAACATGGGTGCCAGCTCCTAGCTCACTGTCTATGAGACCTACACATTCAGACAACACAGAGGAGTGAAAACTCCATGTGCTGTCAGGTCAGTGTCTTAGTGAATCAGGCAGACCTGGGTTCAAATCCTACCTCTGCCACTTCCTGGCTCCGTGGCCTCAAGCAAGTCACCTGTCCTCTCTGAGCCTTCACGTCCACATGTGTGGAACAGAGATGATACGAAGACTCGTCTTGCAGGTTTGTTGAGGGGCACATGAAATAGGGCAGGTAATGCATCGTCCTGAGCCGTTATTATGCTGTGACAGGGTGGTGCTAGCTTCTGCCGAGAGTGAAGTAGCTCTCGAGAGCTAATCCTGAGTAAATGGGCTGGGGATTGGCAGGCGGCCAGGGTTTTTAATTAGTTCCTGCCCAGGGATGAGGCTGTTGTTGCTCCACTGTTGGCAGTGTGGTGCCTGAGATGGTGGGGGGGGAGTGATGGGATGGCCTCCCTCGGCCTCAGAAAGAGCTGACTGCACCTGCCTCCTACTGTCTCCTGGAGCCCTTTGCCGTCCCACCTCCCGGCCACGCCTGCCTCCACAGCCACCATTCGTGCTTCACGCAGCAGGCAGCATGAGCTTTCTGAAACTGCGTTCTGATCCTGGCCCCTCTCACTTAAAGCCCTCGGATGTTTTCCACTGTCCACATGCTTTATTGCCCCTGCACGGCCGTCCTGACGCAGGCTGGTTCACCCCTCTCTGGCCACGCTGACTCTTTTTAAGTTCTTCGAGACCTTCAGGACTTGGCACATGCGGTTCCCTCTGCCTCTCCTCCTTCTTTCAAAACAAACTTCTCAGCCTTCAGGTCTTAAACGTCCCTTCCTGCCAGGTACCACGTTTGTTCCCTCCCTATATGCCAGAGGCTTGGTCCCTGTGGGTCAGCGCATGTACCACGCTTTGGTAAAACTGCTAGTCCCTTGGCCGTCTCCCCACTGGGTCCTACGCTCCAGGGGGGCAGGGACAGTGTCCATCTCTTCACGCTGGCTGGCTAACAAGAGGTGCCTGACGAGTGTGTGTTGGTTGGCTGAGGGCCACCTAAGTGCCTCCCGAGTGCCAAGCACTTACCCCCATCACGACCTCCCCGATTCCTTGCAACAATCTTGCAAAGGAGGGTTATTGCTGAAGAAATTGAGGCTCAGAGAGAAAAGTGGCTTGCACGAGGCCACGGAGCCAGTGAGAGGCAGAACGGGACTGGACACCTGGTCCGGCTGGCATCTGCTCAGGACCACCCACAAGAGTCGGCTCAAAAATAGGGACCCTGTCACATTGGCATGGTGCCCTGCAGCTCCTGCCTCCCCTGAGACAGGCCTTGGGTCCAAGGGTGGTGCCTTGTGCGGTCTTTATCATTTCTGGTGGCTCTGGGCAGATGGGTGGTTTGACACAGGTCTTGGAGGCATTTGGCACAATTCCCTGGAGAAGGCAGGTGGAAGGTGCTGAGTGATCAATTTCTGTGTGGCCTCATGACAGTCTGCCATCCTTTCCTGTGGTGGGTCTGTGCAGGGAGGGAGACAAGGGCGGCAGTCACTTGTCCCCAGCCCTGACAGCCCTGACTCCCTTCCTTGCAGAAACAGAAGCAGGCTCCGCAGAAGCAACTAGCCCGGAAGAGCCCTGCCGCGAGCGCGCCTCCGGCCGAATCCCTCTACACGGTGAGTCCCTGGCCCTGGGCTCCCCTGCCTCTCCCAGGCTTGACTCGAGGTCTGGTTCCCTGGCTCAGTCATGCTCCAGCTGTGTGACCTCGCTGAGCCTCAAGTTCCTCATCTGTAAACTGGGGGCGAGAAGTCCCGCCTGGTGGGCTTCCTATGACTGCAAACTGAGATTACATGTGTGGCCTGACCCCTGGCAGGCATGTTGATGTGAGGTGCCCTGGGTCCCCTTCTTGGCCCACCCCCCACTTCTGGAATAGGGGTAGCAGGGCACAGGTTGCTAAGGGATGAAGAAAGTCATCCAACCAGATGACGCTGTTGACTGGCTCACCGACTCCTTCCTGTTTTTATTGCACAAACAACATCACAGCAGCAACAACAAGAATCACAAGAAGAAAAGGTCAGGCACTGTCCCATGCCCTGAACACATGAACCGTTTTCAATTCTTCACACCCCCTTCCCCACCACACACAGACACTGTTTTACAGCCTTATGACCAAGTGGAGACACGGGCTGGGACGCAGTTTGTTCAGTTCTGCCCCAGCGTTTTCCATCACTGCAGTGGTTTCCATAATTATCTGGGGGAGAGACTCAGCCATGTGCCCTGATGGGTGTGCCCACCCCACCCTAGCCTGCCCACCCCGTCAGCACACAGCCACGCTGCCCAGCGGCTGGGCAGGTGACAAACATTCTTTTTCAGTTACACCTATTTTAGTTCAAGTAACATATGCTCATTGTAAAGAAAGTGAAGAATAAATGCCACCTGGTGTCGGCTGGTGTCTCCAGCCTTAAATTCAAGAACAGCCAGGTTGGGATCTTGGCTCCACCCCTGGGAGGCGCAGAGCTCTGCGGGGCGTGTCCTGGGGCTGCCCCTGCACTAGGATTCTGCCTGTATGTGCTGTCGCTGTACCTATTCCCACCACCCTGACTCACACATGAAACTTGGGTCCTTCCTCATTTTCCACAAAATGACACACAGAGGGCATGCAGGATATGACCCTGTTTACTGAGGATGGGGACGAGGCAAAGGGATTGTCCCTCCTGGGGCAGTGCTGACAGCTCTAAGTGGAACACAGCGCAGCCAGCTCTCTCAGGGCCTTCAGCCCCTCCACCTGGGGAATTTCCACCAGCCACGGCTTCCCGCTTGGCCCCAGACTTCCCCATATTCTCTTCTCTCCCAGCAACTCATTGTGGTATTTTCTCTATGAGAACTTCTGGTGGCAGCTGTTCAATAAAAACACTTCTCTCTCTCTCTCTCTCTCTCTCTTTCTCTCTCTCTCTCTCTCTCTCTCTCTCTCTCTCTCTCTTTCCCTCTCCCCCTCCGTCTCTAACTCCCTCTCCCCCTGAGCGCGCAAGATCCCTCTCTGTATATATATCAAAAAGGAGAAAATAACTATCATCCCAATTCTACTTCTTCCAGGATAAATACTAGTAACATTGACTTCTATACCTTCTAGCCCTTTTTAAATAAATACATATAAAGAGACCCATACGTGCATTCGCACATACTCTTTCCTATTGGGATGGTATAGATTTCTTTTGTTCATGTTACAATATCTCATGAACATTTCCCCACATGAATAAATATCCTGCCACAAAGTTGTTTTTGATGGGAGAGACTCACTTTTGCATGGAATATCTTTTTTGGCTGTTTTGAGACTCCTCGGAGGCTCAGGCAGGCTTCTCTGGGGTGTGGGGAAGAGGCCCAACTGCCACGCAGGGTTGCAGGGTGGCTTGGAGAGGTTTGAGGACCAGAAAGGAGCTGTGAAAGGAGGCCACAGACTTTGCTAACCTCTGAGACAAGTCCCTACCAGCTGGGGTTGGACCTGGGCAGATAAGAATGACGTTAACAACAGGGATGATACTCTCAGGAGCAATTTGTTGATTACCTACCATGTGCCAGGCACTGTGATAAGACTTTCACCCATTCCCTCATTAATCCTCATAATGGGCTTTAGGATACAGGCATTGTACTCATTTTAATTTTTTTTTCTAATTGTCTATTGCTGGTATGTAGAGATATGATTGGTTTTTGCATATTGACTTTATATTGCCAAATTCACTCATTAATTCTAGTGGTTTCTCTGTAAACTTTTTTGGATTGTCTCTGAACCCAGTCATGTCATCTATGAATAATGGAAGTTTCTTTTCTTCCTTTCTTATCCTCAGAACGTTTCTCTCTCTCTCTCTCTCTCTCTCCCCCCCCCTTCTCTCTTCCTTTCTTTCTTTTCCTTTATTGTGCTGCCTAAAACCTCCAGTATGATGGTGAATAGAAATGGTGACAGCAGGCATCCTTGTCTTATTCCCAACCTCTGGGGAAGGATTTTTATACATTCCTCCTTCTACTTTCTTTGGATAGATACTTAGAGCATTAATTTTCAATTTTTCTTCTTTTTAAATTTATGCACCTAAGGCTATGAACTTCCCTTTACTTGTGGCTTTAGCTGCATCCCACAAGTTTTGATATGTTGCATTTTCATTATCTTTCACTTTAAACTTTCCATTGAGATTTCCTCCTTGTGCTTGGGTTATTTAAATGTGTTTTGCTTCATTTTCAAATGTTTAATTATTTTCTAGTTATGGTTCTGTTTTTTTATTTCTCACTAATTCCACTGTGATCAGAGAATATATTCTGTATGATTTTATCCTTTGAAGTGTTTTGAGACTTGCTTTATGGCTCAGCTTATAGTCTGTGTGCACTTGAAAAAAACTTGCATTTTACATGGCTGCATGAGTGTTCTAGATATGTCAATTAGGTCAAGTTTATTGACCATGTTGTTAAAATATTCCATTTATTTATTTAGTTAGTTAGTTAGTCTAACAGATGTTAAGAGAAGTAAATTAAAATCTGCCCATTTGATTGTAGATTTGTATATTTCTCCTTTTAATATGTCAATTTTTGCTTTTTATTCATGTATAAAACTGCTCATGAGATATTATGAAATGAAAAAAAAAGCTATAGTACTCCAATGTGGTTTTTAAATAAAATTGCCCAATTAAGGAGCACTGATTTGGAGTGGGTCAGACAGACTGAGATTCAAAGCCTAGTTCCTTTGCTCATGGGTTCTGCTACTTAAACTTTCTGAGTCTTGGTTTCATCACCTGCAAAATAGGGCTAATGATACAATACTACATTTACAGCTTGCAGACGTGATTTCTTCCACCTTAAATTCCTTATCTTGAGCCCACATTTCCCTCCAGTGACCCTGCCTTTTCTCCATAACTCGTTATAACAAAACTCTCTGTCTTCAGTTTCTCTCTCTGCGTCCTGACCCACTCAGTCAGGCTTTCTGCCCGCCTCTTCACCAAAACCTTCCTTCTCAAGGTCACCATTGACCTTCACATGGTTAGATCCAATGGTGAGCTCCTGGTCCTCGCCTTCCTTGATGAATAAGCAGCACCTGACACCTATGAGCCCTCCCTCCTCCTTGACGCACTTTCTTCTCTTGCTTCTGGATCATTCCAATCTTCTGATGCCCCCCTGACTCACTGCCACTTCTCCTCCTCCTTCATTGGTTCCTCCTTAGGGACCAGTAGGATCCTGACCTCTAAACATTGGAGTCCAGTCTTGGGACGCTTTCTCTTTGATCTTTACTCCCCTGCCTGGGTGAGCTCATTCAGCTTCAAGGTTTTGAGACCATCAATACTCTGGCAGCTTCCAAATTTACGTCTCCAGCCCAGACATCTTCTCTGAACACCTGAGTCAACTTCATTAGGATGTTTCCTCGGCTCCTCTCTCAGGCCAAACCAATTCTTTACCCGTCGAAGTGCTTCTCTCCACAGTCCTCATCGCAGGGAATGATCGCTCCAACCCTTCTGCTGCTCAGGTTAAAATTTTTGAAGCTGTTCTTTTTTTCTCTCTTCCTATCACTGCTCATGTCTGATCTAACAGCACATCTTGTTTCAAAGCACATATGGAAGCTGACCTTTCTGACCCCTCCAGGGCTAATGCAGGTGGGAGCCTCCACTATTTCTCTCCCGGGGTCCTGTAGTTGGTTTCGAATTAGCTGGCCTATTTACTGTCCTTGCTCCACAGTCTGTTCTCCCCCTGGCAGCAGCAGAGTGATCTTGTCCAACGCGGACAGATCATGTCCGCTCTGCTCAGAGTCTCTGGTGAGTCTGGGTATTTGGAGGAGCAGACACCAAGCTGGGGTTCGACGTGTCGTCGTTTCATTAGGGAGACCAGCAGTGAGAGAAAATGAGAAGACAGGCAGAGCCATCAGACAGGTGCAGGTCTGGTCCTGAGTTAAGGAAAGGGGGAAGGAGGCAGGGAGGAAGGACCCCCCACACAATCTCCGGAAGGTTCGGCAAGGCCATCAGGAGCCCAAGTCACAGGAGTCTCCTGTTTCCCAGGGTGAGAAGCTGTGATGCCGCCCCTGTCAGGCTCAGCCATTGCCTGGGATTAGCCCACAGGGTATATAGCCTCCGTGCACACATAATGATGGGTTTCAGAGCCCAGCGGCTGGGGACCTTGGTTATTGCTAATCCCTGCAGCTGGAGGCCTGCAAAGCACAGTCTCTTGACCGCTGTAGTCCTTCAAAGGCTCCTGTGTCAGTGAGAGTCAATGTCAGAGGCCTGGTAGTGGCCTCTAAGAGCTCTGTGCACGTGTCCTCCCACTGTCTCTCCCCCTCACTCACTTGCTCCCGTCACACTGGCCTCCTTGCTGCTCCCCAAACACACCAGGCATGCCCCCACAGTGGGGCCTTGGTGTTGGCATTGACCCCTGCTCCACAGTGTCCTGTCTGTGGCTGTCCATGGGGCCACTCCCTCATCCCCAGCTCTGCTCAGATGGCACCTTTTCTGCGAGGCCTTTCCTGACTTCCCTTTTAAAATTGCAACCTCCCTCCCCGCCCCCCCTCCATAGCCCAGACTCTCTTATCTTCATGTCTCTCCATGGCCCTTTCAGCCAACTTTTACTCTCCTTATTGTGATCTATCTCGCACCCCTCACCCCAGCCACCAGCCCAGTGCCCGGCACACAGTAGGTACTCAGCAGTCTGCCTTATGCATGCGTGGAGAACTGTTCTTACCTTCCAGGTATCTGGGATTCTGTGGGGCTCAGTGCTGGGCACAGAGTGGGCACTCCTATGGCATCAGTACTGTGGTGTCACTTTCCCTCAGCAGCATTTGCCACCGACAGCTCTGTGCCAGCCTCTGCCTGCTCTCAGCCCCCAGCCCCTCCCAATTCCTCACTGCAGCAGCAGGGACCTCCCTAACACACCACCACCGATGCCGTCGCTCCCCACCCAGGAACCTCCAGCGGTTCCCTTCCAGCTCCTTGGCCTGGCACGAGAGGCCTGCACTGGAGGCCTGTCCTTAGACTGTTTCCCCAGACTCCTGTCACTGCAGTGCGCCATTCACTTCAGACATGCCAGGACCTTGACCTAGAGCAGAGGTGCCCCTTCACTGAGTAATGCTCCATTCTGAACAACCTCCAGATCTCACCCATCTGCCCCCCAGTGGGCATCATGCAAATCTCTGCATGTAGGTGCCCATGAGAGCACAGCGCTTGTGTTTCCTTGGTCATGGGGGTGGGGGATGGGGTTGGGGGGGGTATTACAGGGGGACCTATGTCTAAGACCCTCAATTTAGTTCCTGCCCCAGGGTAGCTGACTTCAGCTCTGGCCTCAGCCTTCTTGGAAGAAGGCCTTGGCACTGACTTGACCCCTCTGCCAGGGCCGATGACGGCTCAGGTCAGCACCATTGCCTACTGAGCATCAGGAGGCAAAGAACATGGAGTGCCTGAGTCCCAGACAAACAGCCCCAGCCCAGCGCAGCCCAGCACAGTACCTCACAGCCCAGGAGAGACAACACAGCACAGTCCAGCATAGCCCCAGCGCTGCCTAATCCAGTCCTAACACAGCACAGCCCCAGGCCCAGCTCTCCCAGCGCAGCCATTCAGAGGCCTGGGCAGTCTCCTCCCAGCAGACACACCCTGAGGGAGGCAGGCTCCATCACCCCCTAGGCAGGCCAGGAGGGTCTGGCTCAGAGCCTCAGAAGTGCATTGTGACAAGGCTGCCTGCATTTCACAGCCTAGTGATGCAGGTCACAGCCTGAATGCAAATGCAGCCAGCAGATCAGAGCTTGTCAGAGGCTTCACTCTGCAGCTGCTAATTGGCAGTCCCTCTGCAGCCTCCCCTGCCCTCAGCCCCGCAGCCTCCCCTGCCCTCAGCCCCGCAGCTGCTCCTGCCCCACAGCATGGCCACCTGCCAGTGTGCGCAGAGGCCTGTGAGGTCCTAAGGCAGAGGCCTGCGGGGTCCCAGGTGCTCTTTTCTGGCTCGGAAAGCCCCTGGCCACATGCCCGAGCCAGTGGGAACACGTAGAGCTGGGGACAGGAAGCCTGAGTTCCAATGTGGGTTCCACCACTGAAGGACTATGTGACCTGAGACATCTCTGGGCCTCTCTGGGCTAATGTGTGGTGGGCAGCCCATGTGAGCTGGACGTGAGGGAGGACGGAGCCACCTGTGGGACCCCAGATCTGCTCTCCTACCGAATGTCAGCAAGGAGGCCCTTTGCCTCTCTTCTTTCTGTGACCAGAAACGTCCAGCTTGGAGGGGCTGTCAGAACTGTGGAGATCCAGGCCTGGGTGGACAGAGGGTAGAGGCACAGGGCTGCTGAGGGGCAGATCCTGTCTCGTGTGCCAGATTTGCCGGTGGTAGCTGGTGCTCTGGGCATGCATGATGACCCGACAGGCCAGAGCAGGACTTAGAAGTTGCCTTCCTGGGGGAGAGGGGTTGTCACTTTGAGGGGTAAAAAGTATAACTAGTGCACTGTGTTATACAGCTGAAACTAATTTTTTTTAAAATGTGTATTTCACAATAAAAAAAATAAAAAAAGAACTTGCCTTCCACAGGAAACTGGGCTCCTCCTTGGGGTGGCCCTGTCTTCTTTCCTACCTGGAGTCAGGTTGGAAGCCCCTCTCCTAAGCTCCACCCTCTTTCTGACTCAGAGTCCACTTGAACTGGTCCCTAGAGCCACCCTGTCATTCCTGTGAGTGATGCCCCTGAAGTGAGTGTCTCCCAAGAGCCAAATGGTTTATTACACAGGTCTTCATCCCCAGCTACCTCTCGGCGCCTCCTTCCTGCCTCCCCTCCACACCTCCCCTCCTTCTTGCCTCAGAGCACCACCTGTCTCTCCAGCCTGCCTCGGCAACCCCTGCTTGCCTGTTGCCAGGGAAACCACCTCCTTGGCAACCAGCCGGCTTCCATATAACAGTACATGTGGGAAGGAAAGGTTCTTGCCTCTTGGTTAGGCTGTTGGTGGCTCTGCTTTGACAGTCCCAACGAGCAGTGTCTGCCCCTTGCATGGGACCCCAGTGCCCAACAGGGTCTGAGGGAGGGTCCAGGCTGTGACCACAGAGAGGGGAGGGAGACATCAAGCTTCCCTTGATGATCATTCAATTGATGATGATTCAACAGTTGTTAAGCACATACTATTTACCAGACCCTGTCCTGGGCCCTTCATGCTCAGTGTCTCATTTAATGCATTGAGCCTACAAGATAGAGAGTATTCTCACTTTACAGATGAAGAAACTGAGGCACAGAGAGGCTGCCCATGGCTGGCAAGTGTCAGAGCCGAGAGTTGAACTCAGTCTTGTCTGATTTCAAAGCCCTGGTTCTTTCTACCGTTCTGAGGCCTCTGGTCAGGCGGCTCATAGCTGAGCCAAGAGTGAGTGTGGCCCCAAGACACACACTCAGGAGTCCTCTCATCGTAGCTCGTTTGGTGAGGTTCAGAGATCCAGAGACAAGCCAAGCACAGTTTTATAGGACAGAAGAGTGACCCCAATAGGGTATCTGGGTCATCCATGAGTGCAGGCGGGGTTGGGGGATGGGGGTCAAGGGGCAGTGTGGACAGGCGTTTAGGATCCTCAAAGGGGCAGGGACTTTGGACCCGGGGAGTGAGGATGGATGCCAGGAGGGCATCGTCTTGGAGTTGTGGCCACAGGTATCATGGCTGGAGGCTGCTGGCTGGGGACTTGAGATGGTGTGAGGGAGGTGGCAGGGGGCACAGAGAGGTGTCACCCTGTAAAAGCAGGAAAAGGATGAGGTGGTTCCAAAAGAGGGAATGGCAGATGCACAGGTCCAGCAGTGTGACCCTGCACGGAGTGGCTGGGAGAAATGGGTGTCCCCTCACAAGCTGTGGCCCACAGGGCTCTGCCCATCGCCTGGGCTCCTGCAGGCGGGAGTGGTCCATAACAGGTAGGGAGGCCAGGCTGCTGGGGCTGGGGCCCTGGCCCGTGGTTACCTTCCTCTGACCCTCACACTGTCTCCTGCAGGCCCTGCAGCGCCGAGAGACTGAGGTCTACGCCTGCATGCAGACCGAGGCCAGCAGCCCGCCCCCCAGCCAGAACCTTCTCTCCCAGGTATGCAGGGCGCCAGGCAGCCAGCCTGGCTCCCCCTCTCATTCCACCTGACCCTCTCCTCATCTGTGAAATGGGGGTAAGTAGGACCATGGGAGTGAACACCTGCTGTTGAATCAGAGGCCTCTCCCAAGGCAGCTGGCCTGGCCTGGCCTGGCCTGGCGGGGAGGGGCACTGGTGGGCTGGAAGCCCGGCTCCCCGCCTCACCAGCTGTGCATCCCTAGCCAAGGGGCTCCTTCTGTGCCTGAATGTCCTGTCTGTGAACTGACTCACCTCATGGATTTACCATGAGGACCAAATGTTGCATCGGGACCAGTAGGCGCCCATGCTATGTGAGCTGTTGTAACTACCGCTGGGCACAGTGTAGTGTCTACAGCGGCCAGTCAGGCAGAGGGTGTTAGGCTTCTAGCTGCCCCCAGGCTGATGTTAGCTGAAGTCAGGAGCTGGTGCCACCCGGGGCTGGTCAGGTCAGAGCTCTCTTATTATCATGCTAGGTGCCAAGGCATTTCACTTGATCACGATTCTCTCTTAAACCCCTGTTTGCTCATCAGTAAAGTGGATGAGTGACACTTTGTTCTAAAACCAACTGCCTCCGAATTCAAATGAGTTCCAAGTTAAGAAAAGTCTGCACCAGAGATATGGACACCATAAAGCACGAAGGATTATTAAGCGGGTATAGGAGTCCATGGGTTGTAGGTGGGCCTGTGGACTCCTTGGAAGAACCATCAGGAAGTGAGGGGTGGGCTTGGCCTCCCCCAGCACAGGCGGCCCAGTCAGGCACTGTTGGGTGAGTCTCCTAGTCTCAAAGCCCTTTCTATGCTCAGCCCTGACCTAGGCCTTGACTGGAAACAGGGCTTTCCTATCCTGGGACCCCCAAGGGTGTCTGGGTCACCCCAGGCAGTGCCTGCCCTGTGCCAGGCCCTGGGGTGCCGGCCAGGATGGTTAGACATGTCCCTGCCCTCTGGGAGCCTCGAGGCTACAGGAATAGGGTCACTGACTCAACAAACACAGAGACATTTGTGGCCCCTTCTGAGGGGTGGGTTCTGGAGAGGGACCAGACCAGGGCTAGGGAGGGGGCCCTCAGGGATGCTGAACGAGCCCTGCAGGGTGAATAGGAGGTGGTGGGGGAATGGGTGGGATTGAAGGAGCACCCCAGACAGAGGGAAGAGCATGTAGGGAGGCCCTGAGGCAGAAAAGGGGAGGCTCGCGGGGCAGGAGAGCAGACAGCAGGGGTGGAGCGGCATGGCGGAAGAAGAGGCTGGCGAGGTGGGCTTGGGGACAAGAACAGGCTTTCCTGTCGCAGCTATGCAGGAAGCCATCTGACTAAAACTAAATCAGTGCAAGTTTGTTCTTTTCCCTACCTATTGTTTTTTCTTTTTTTTTCCCCTAGGAGAAACCGCATGCGTTTGAGAATGTCAGTGACTTTAACGAGGTCTATGAAAATCTATAAGACGGGGCTCCACCTGCCCACAGGTCTTGCCCTGGATCAGGGGCCGGGCAGCCCCTCCCTCCAAAGACTTGATCTGTACCAGGAGTGAGGCCCCAGGGGCACTCCATCACCTCACCCCCACATTCAAGGCCCTTCCTGCTTTGGCCTGCCCCCACCCCCATTCTGTGCCCCAGTCATACCCACTGAGTGTTTCCCATCTCCCGGCGCTCTGCCAGGCGGGCCCTTTCTCAGTCTTTAAGGCTCTCTTGGACACCACCCATTTCCAGAGTCCTCCTCATCCCCTCAGACACACAGGCTCACATGGCATCTGCCTGCAAGGCCGACCTGGAGCTCCTCGGGAGGGGCCCTCGCAGGTGCTGAGTGTGCAAGCAAGCATCGTGAAGTGGATGAATAAAGGAGCAACTATGCAAATGACCCCCCTCCCTGCCCCCTGCCCATCTAGGCCAAAGGCACAAGGCGGCTATGCAATGTGAACCAAGGGCTGGCGTGGGAAGTATGGGGCATGGGTAAGAATGAACCATGCAGAGGCTGGGCTGGCCTCAGGGACAGAGCTGGAGGCTGAGGAAGTGGCGAGAGGCCTGGGGGGCCTGGAGCAGAGGGGTCCTGGGCACAGGCTAGTGAGGAAGGAGATCTGGGTTCTGAGCAGGAGAGGGGCAGATGCTAGTTAAATGGAAGCTGAACAACCGGAAGCTCTCTAATCCCCAAGAAGGACCCCGAGGTTGTCTCCCATTAGCCTGGCCCTTTATACTTACCGTGCCAACTGCTTTATCGCCCCCTGCCCCTCCAGCCTTCTCCACCCTCAGGGCCTAAGCTGCTTCTCCTTCCACCTAAGGCCCCGTCCCCCAAAGGCCCTCTGTCTGGCCCATCCTAACCCCATCCACCTCTGCCTTTACCTGCCTTGTGTCCAGCCTCTGGCCCCTGGAGATGGAGGTCAGAACAGCACCTTCCCTCTTGGCCCAGGGCCAGTCCCAGCTGCCTGAAGGTCACCTCTCTCCATCATGGTCTAGCTTGCGTGGCTTGCTGCCTGGGGCCTCCCTTGGATAGGCCGAAGGGGGCCTTTCATGTTGCAAAAGGTTGGGCCCTGTGTGAACGGTGGTCCCTCAGTGCCTGGCCCTGAGCCATGTCTGTTCCCATGGCCTCTCACCTCACTCCACAGCAGCCCATCTCACAGGAAGCCAGGGGCTATCTGCCAGGCTCTCCCCCGTCTCTCCTTCAGCTTTTCACTGTTTTCTCACTTGTAAAATGTGCAAGACAGCTCTCCCTCCCCACCCGCCGCTGCCCCAGAGGCCCCTGAGGTGCCCTCACACATGAACCCCAAATGTGTCTAGGAAAGGTGGGGGCCCAAGGTGCAGCCCCGACTCTGCCCCTGAGCCAGCACTGGGCCACCAGCTCTGGTAGCACAGGCCCCTCACTGCAGGGATAGAAAGACTGGGGGTGGGGGGTGGGCATAGCCTGATGTCCAGAGGAAGCCCTCAGCCCCTCTGCTAGGATGACACTGAACCTCCCTGGGCCCACAGGACAGTCCACAGCCTCCCAGCTTGGCTCTGAGCCCGGCCTTCGAGCCTACGGCAAGCGGGGCTCTGAGCTGGATTATAAGGTGGAGTGGAGCGGGCTCTCCTCCCCAGGAGGCTGGAGTTTAGTGAACTTCATGTGTATTTAGGAAGGCAGAGCCGCCTAAGCCTCCAGCAGGACCTTCCAGGGTCCTGACTCCAACAGCCTGAGGCCAGGCCAGGGTGGGGGGGGGGTGCTGTTCAGGGTGCAGTGAGCCTCCCCAAGAACACCAAAGCCAGCAAGACCAGGAGGAGGCCTCCTCGCTGGGCCTGGCCTCTTGTGCTCAGCCCCTGGACCCTAGGCCCCCTGGCTGGGAATCAGCCTTTTCTAGTTGGCCCCACAGGTGGAGAGGGGAACCTGGCAGAGTTATCGCCACACCTTGGTCCAGGCCCCCGCACGGCTGCCCTGCCTCCAATTTCTTCTCCCTGTGGGTCCTGTCCCTCCCTCGTAACCTTCCACAGTTCCCACCTGACTTGCAACAAACTCCCAACTCCTCCCTGTGGCTTGTGGGGCCCTTAGGGACCAATCCGTCACCCCTCTTGTGGACACAGACTTTGCCAGCATGGATCCGAGGTCTGGTTCAGGTCAAGGCTGTGAAGCCAGGAGGTTTTAACATCTTCAGTGAGCAAGGAGAGAGGCAGGGAGGAGGCGGGTCAGTGTGGAAGGGTGGGATCCTCGGAGGGGCTTTGACATGAGGGAGGGCGAGGGAAGAATGTTCTGGGACACCCAGTGTGGAGCAAAGGAGACTGAGCACCTGTTCCCCAACCCCCAGACAGCCTGTGGAGATGGGCTGGTGCAGGGGCAAAGGGTGACAGTGAGGGAGGGGAAAGAAAAGGGAGCGTCTTACAGCAGCCTGCCTGTGACTGAATGCCTAGAGGAGAGGAGAGGTCATTTTGGGGTTCTCTGAACCCCAGTTCCACCTCCCACCAACCATGTCCACTTGAAGCTGGGTTTAAGTGATAATCAAGCCTGCTCCGCGTTGCTCAGAGAGAACAGATGGGGGACTCCCTGCTTGTTCAGAGGCTCATTTGGTGTGCCGCTGGTGTGTTTCCTTCCCCAGTAATCCTCCAGGAAAAGCAGGCTTCCAGGAGCCAGTGTGGAGGGAGTCTGCTAAGTGAGGGGCAGGCCTCCTGGGGGTTGGGGGCAAGGCAAGCGGAGGGGTGTGTGTGTGTGTGTGTGTGTGTGTGTGTGTGTGTGATCAGGAGGCAAGGGCAGCTGGGAGAGTGCCCAAGGGACGGTGCCCTGAGGGGTAACAGGTGAGACCCAGGTGAAGGGGAGTCTTAGACCCCAATGGCAAGTGGCAGCCATCCTGAGGGTGGACCCCAGGCAAAGTACGGGTACGAGAAGCCCCAGGCAGCCCTGAGGAACAGGCCTCAGGCACCGCTTCCTTTTGTTGGGACCCTACCCCAAGGCCCCACCACAGAGGGGGTCTCAGAGGATGCTTCTCAGCCTGGCCTACCCTTGCTCTGACGGGGGGGGGGTCCCACCATCTCTCCTCCTAGGTCATGCCCTGCCACCCTCTTCAGAGCCTTGGGGCATCTGAAACGTTTCAACTGCTTCTGACACCCTCAGCCTCCACTGGCCTCTCCAGGGTAGCAGCTCAGAAATGGCCCATTCTGCCCCTTTGGGCGGGTTTCCGCCTCCAATCCTCCCTTCTGCTTCTGCTCCTCTCAGCACTTGCTGGAGAAAACCATCCCTGGAAGCCAAACTGCAAAGTGGGTGTGGGAAGTGGTGGCCCCTCCCCGGCAACAATTTCCAGAGGAATCTGCAAAGCGGAGTTTCCATGGGAACACGTGCCAGTCGTACATGGAACCCCACCTTCACAACCAACATGACAGGACCTTGGCAAGGGTGGGAGGTGGCGGTGGAGGTGAGCGGGAGGTGTTCCGCCGGGCACAGCCGCTGCGTTTTGGCCACCAGCTCTCACTAACCTGAAACCAAGTTACAGGCAAATCTGCCTTTTTTTTTGTTTGTTTAACATTCTAATTTAAAGACCATGCTCCATTTTAAGGATGCCTCTGGGGTTTCCAGGATGGATTTTTTATGTAGTTCAATAGTTTTCTTGGCAGACTGCTCAGCCAGGAGAGGTGGGCTATAGTCTTGGCCCAGCCAGGCTGACAGAATGGTATCTCTCTGTCCCTTCTGGTGTCACTTGTGCACCTGAGGGGCTTCCCCATCCCTGAATCCAGACTCCTAGAGTTAGGGACATCGGTACTGAGGCACTGAGACAACTTCCTTCCCAGGCTCCTCTGGCCTGTGGTGTAATTGCGGCCTTGGAGCCTTGACCCAGCACGGTTCAGTTCCTCCTCTCTGCGCTTGGTGTTAGCATGTTGTCTTTTCATGTGTGTATCTACTCAGGTGATGCGGGTGCAAATTGCGGTAAAACATGAAACTACAACAAAGTGACATTCCCTCTGATGCTCCTGCTTCCTTGCAGCCTCCATCCCAGTCCTTTCCCCAGAGGTGACCACTGGGTCATCTGCGCGTGCTTTCCTCTGGGCTTTTATTGCATCTACGTATATGTGCATATATATGAAGATATAAACTATATAGTGCTTGTGCAGGGCTCTGAAAAGCTTCAGTGGCATCCTCCTGTAGGCGTCATCTGTGCTTGCTTTGTTCATGCAGCCCCACGAGGTGGGGGTCTGCCTGTGACAGCACATCGGAGCTGCCAGGCGCTGCTCACAGCAATGGATTCCACGGGACCAGTGGGCCCTAATTTAATCAGGCCCTTATAATGGCCTTTTCAGCCCACAGTTTTCCAGCCTCACAGAAGGGGCTGCAGGGATCATCTTTGGACACAGCTGCAGACCTGTCAGGGTGTGGACATGTACTGTTTTAGCAGGCACTGTCAAATCGTCACGCATGGAAGGTGTGCTGCCTCCTACTCCTTGGGCTCTTTATCTACAATATCTCATTTAATCCCGAAAGCACCCTGTGAAGTGGGGGGCTTGTCTCCCCATTTTGTCCAAGCAGAAACTAGGATTCAGAAAAGCTGACTGTCTAGAGGTGACACAGCCCAGAAGGGGCAGCGCTGGGATGGCTCCAACTCTACGCTGTCCCGTGGCCTCACAGGTCAGGGAAGGGGGTGGGCGGGGAGAGGACCATAAAGGGCCTTAGAGGGACTCGCTGCCTCCTGGGACACAGTTCACGAAGGGACAAGTTTCCTTCATAGATGTCCTGTCAGCCTGACGTTGCTCATACCTGGTTCTCAGACCTGTGGGAGTTGGGGGGTGTCCTTTTGTCACCCCCCCCCCGCAGTGGTCTATCTCCTTGGGGAAATGGAGGCAGGTCAGTAGAGGTGGCGGGGCCGCACCCGCCTGGCAATTCACACCCACTGTGGGCCTGCTTCAGGCAGCCTAGACATTTGGGCCCCAAACCTCCCTTGGAAATTTCCGGCACAGCACGCCTGGAAGTGTGAGCCGCCTCTCAGAAGCTTTATAATCCAGGATAATGCTGCTGTAATTGGTATTGTTCCACATTTACAGTCCCCTCGTTACCTGAAAACCTACTTGCAACGGCTCTATCTAGAGAGGGTTTAATTTTACCACGTTGCAGACCTTAAGAGGCCCAGGAGCACAGGTTTTTTCTCTATCACCCCCACCCCCTCCCTGTACCCACCCCATCCCGATTCCCAGTGAGTGCCACAGGCCATGGGATTGCTTTCTGACTGACCTCAATCGGGGCGCAGCCCTGTACATGGCTCCCCACCACGGCAGGGCTGATCTGGTTTTCTCACCTGCCCCACTTCCTTCCTCCATCAAGCCCACCCATCTAGTCTCCCTCCAACCCCTCCTCCTTCCAACCCTCCCCAGTCTCTGTCAACAAATAAACCTTTCAATAGCACAGATCTGACCACCCAC